ACATGACAACATAACTTCTTTTAGGCATGGTAGTTGAGCTTTGTGGACAAGGGATGGTGGGTGGAGTGAGGGTGGGTGAGAGAGTGTGAGGACTGAGGACCAAGTGAAAGTTGAGCCTAAATTTGTAGTGTATCTGCCAGATAAAGGCAGATACAAACAGATGCCTGGTTACTACTTCAAGCAGGGTAATGGGCATCCTGTATGCCTGCTTGTAGCAGGCATATGTAGTCATGTGAGGTGCCTCACCACCACCTCTATCCAAAATTTTTAAAACAAGATAATACAAAATTTTATAAAATACTTCAACAGTCTAGATAACAACACAATCCAAAATATATAAAACAAAATTCAATTACAAAACAATTCAAATATGAATATAAATGATTTTGATTTAATGATCATAAGTTAATTTAAATTATTTAAAACAGTCTTAAATTTTGAAATAGTCTGAGTAATATAAATGAACTCTATAATATTAACACAAATTTAAATAAATTAATTAAAAAGACTTTTTCAAAAAGTTATAAAACGTTTGAATTTTATAAATTTAAGATAACATAAATGATTGAATTTATTCATAAATCTAATATATAAATATTTAAAATAATAGAAACGATTGAATTTATATAGATGATTAAATCAATTAAAATGATTAAATTAAATAAAATGATTTAAAATTGAATGTAAAATTGATAAAACAACTTAAATTTTGATATAAGATGATTTAAGTTAATTTAAACGGCTTGATTGATTCAATTGATCATTTAGATTGAATTGGATCGGTTTGATCGATTGATTAGATCGACTCGGATCGGATTCGGAACGATCGAAATGTACAGTAGTGACGCTGAACGGTGATGGTGTAGGTTGGTGGTAATATTACGTAGAAATGATGGTAGAGAGGTGGTAATGTAGTGAGATGCGAAATGGTCAAAACGTAGGGTAGTGAAGTGAGAGAGGAGGTAGTGCGGTACGGTAGAAAATCGGGCTGTTGCAGGTGTACGATCGGCAGTAGTGTAGATTGGAGATTAGGGAGGTGGTGTAGTGTAAATGATAGCTGAGGAAGTGAAGCAAGGGCGGCTGATATGCAGATGCGTAGTGTCTGGTCGGTGGTAAATTGTGGATGGTACATGCG